TATTTATTTATTTATTTATTTATTTATTTATTTATTTATTTATTTATTTATTTATTTATTTATTTATTTATTTATGCTCTAATGTACATATCTCTTGCTACCAATATTAAGGGCAATCTCCATTTTCACGACGCTTGTGTAATTCTCGTGATCTGATTGGCTGAGAAGAGTGGGTCCACTTGAGTTTGGGACATTTTATTACGTCAAGAGTGTGTGTGAATAAAAGGACTTCAACTCAAAACCATGCGCAGTTAATTAATTAACAGAATGGACTGGCCAGAGCCAAAAGCAACACCTTTATCTCTCCTTGCTCTTCTTCTTCCAATTACACTGTTTCTTTGATTTCAAACAATAAAAATCCTTACAGGGGTCATTAAAATTCATAAACAATAATAAAGTTTAGTATAAACATACTAATGGTCTATCACTCATACTGCGCTGTGATTGGCTACTCTACTATGGTCTAATTTGTGATAGACCAGTCGCGGGAAAATCAAAATGGCGGCATCTCATTGATAAATTATTTTAAGGATATTTCAATTTGTTTTCATTATTTGACCGATTAGTATGTTTATACTAAAACAATTAGAGCTCTCGGCCTCGTGGACTACGAGCTCGTAGTCCACTCGACCTCGAGGTCCAATTGTTAAATAGATTTGATTGTTATAAATGTTAATCTAATACAGTACTTACCCGCATATAAGAATCCATTTTTTCAAATTCAGCCTAAACGGGTTCTTAATAGTTCTAAATAGTGCTTAGTGGAATTTTAGGCTACCCAGGCTCTTAAATATAAGAAATGTGGTCTATTTTGAAATTTTTAGGCTAAAAGTTTCTTAAATTGCAGGTCCTTATAAGTGCGTAAGGACTGTAGAATAGCTAGTGCTTTCCTGAAAGTATCCACGTCAGGGTTCATTTACATTATAGTAAATAGTGCAAAACTATTTACAAAGATACTGTTTCAATATTGTTTTAAAATTAGTTAGAGAAGTTATACTTCTCAGATAGGTCGGAAGTGTGTTTCATACTTTGGCACCGTTCTTATAAGGTTCTTATAAGAGGGTAAGGACTGTAGAATATCTAGTGCTTTCCTGAAAGTATCCACGTCAGGGTTCATTTACTATATCGTCTTGTAGTGAGTTCCAGTCTCGCAAAGTTCGTTGAAAGTATGAATACATGCCGATAATCATTTCTAGAAGTTGGTATGATCAATCTTTCCAATTCGGCAAGAAGAATCAATTCTTGAATTTAGTACACGTGTACATTATCATATTTCACCATAGTGGAAAATTACTCGATAATCCTCGACAAAAAGAAATCATAATTTGTTTGGTTTAGGGATCAYWGCATAAGAAATGTCTTTCAGCTATCGGAGAGGATAGGATCGAAGATCAAGTTTTTGGCCCTCTTATCCATTTATTTATTTATCTATGTGCAATATTTCAACAGGCCACACAATTCAGCGTAGACTGGTTTAAATGGGGGTCAGCAAACAATTTACAAGACATATTCAATACATTACATCACATGACATAAACTCATTACACTATTACATTTCATGCAGAAAAAAGGCGAAATAGTGCAAAACTATTTACAAAGATACTGTTTCAATTTTGTTTTAAAATTAGTTAGAGAAGTTATACTTCTCAGATAAGTCGGAAGTGTGCTCCATACTTTGGCACCGTTATCCATGGTGTACACGAACTTGATTCAGTGTGATCAAATTGCTTTTTACAAAGCTTTTTTAAACTATTCTTAAAAGTATAGTTTCAAACCCGAGAAAGTGTGTTTTATCAGGTATAAAGATTCTAGCCGAGGTCGAGAATCTTTATACCTGATAAAACAGGGTCTCGAGTGTTTTAATCTGCTTATAAAACACCAACACTAATTTRAAACTCAAAGTCGTTAAAATTCTTGAAGAAATTGTCGTAAATATACGTTTTGAGATACTTGGTGCAAACTGATCATGCGTGAATCACTTAACAAAGCACACTTGTCATCCCACATTGAATACGCATAAAGTAAAATAGAAGTGCGGAATTTAAATTGATTTAGATTTGCTCTTTCATATAAGTAATGTATACAGAACGAGAGAGCGTGTTGTATCGGGTGATAAATATCCGAGCCGAAGGCGAGGGAGGATCTTTAGCCCCGATACAACACGCTCTCGAGTTCTGTATGTGGCTTATCAAACTTTATAATAATTCTCATTTAAATTTTTTTGAAAAATTTGAATATCTTGCTGCATTTCATCGATTAAAATTATCACCGTATGTCGCCGTTATTAAATATTCGTCAAATATAACTGTTTGTATGGCGCAATTGTTTCATGAAACGACTGAACTATCAAGGGAAT